CACAACACCACAACACACACACACACACACACACACACACACACACACACACACACACACACACACACACACACACACACACACACACACACACTCACACACAGTCCAGTGAAACTGTCATTGTTTTATAGAAAATGTAAACTGAACTACTTTGAGCCTATTCCAAAGTTACTGTACTGTAGCGGAAACGAACAGCATGAAATCAGTGCTGTTTTAACAAGCTTTTCAAACCAGAGGTCCATAGAATATATATATAAGAAATTAATGACTAGTGAATATGTACGTTTTAGTAAAAAAGTTGAATAAAAAAATTCAAATATACAAAATGAAAAAAAAAGTAACTAAATGATTAAATAAATAAAATGAACATAAAAAATGAACATGAAATAAATAAATTGAACTTGATCATCTGTAAATACATCAAATGCACCAAACACATCTCCGGGTTTCCACTGAAACTAATAGATCAGGAAACAATAACAAGAGTTCCCTTATAGATGTTATAATATTATTATTCAGCTTGTAAAACTGAAGAATTCTGCTCTTTTCCTATTCTACAGTAAGTAGTTGAGATCTTACCGTGGTGTTGAAGAGTCCAGCTGATCTGGCCCTGTGCACAGTGTGTAAAGTCTGTCTGTGGTGTTACTGCAGTTTTTCCCATGAAGCACATCACACGGAGCTGATCCTCCCACTGGGCGAGACATTTGCACTCTCAGCCCGCCCACATCTGACACGCCAAACATCCAGAACTTCAGCCGCTTTGAGCTGATTCTTCAGCCAATGTCCAACATGGACATTTGATGGAAAAACTCCCACACACTCTTAAAGCAACACTTAGACTCAGAGACAACATTTGACAGGATTTCTGCGGGTTTCATGAAGGTCAATTTAAGACCCTTTTAAAACCAAGTAAAGATATCTTAGGAATAAATTGAATGGAACAATATGTTAATATGGTCTCTAATGGTAAATGTTTTGTATTAGCAACAATTCAAAGTATGAACAGATCCCCATTACTTTAACTAAGCTTGTTCATGCTGCAAAAAGTGATATACGTTATTAGTATGTTTGTTTTGTTATCCAGTGCAAACACAGATACACTTACTTAAAGCAAAATGACACAAGAGAAGAATTCTTATGAGAAATTGATTAAAATGTTTTAAAGGGGTCATATGATGTTGTTAAAAAGAACATTATTTTGTGTATTTGGTGTAATGAAATGTGTTTATGCAGTTTAAGGTTAAAAAAACACATTATTTTCCACATACTGTACATTATTGTTTCTCCTCTATGCCCCGCCTTTCTGAAACACGTAAATTTTTACAAAGCTCATCGGTCTGAAAAACGAGGTGTGCTGTGATTGGCCAGCTATCCAGTGCATTGTGATTGGCCGAATAGCTCAAGCGTGTGACGCAAATGTTACGCCCCTTACCATACTGTGATGCCCTGTCCGGCCGGAGCGACGAGACAAAAACATTAAAACCCATTATAAACGAGGCATTTGTTGCATCCAGTGGGGACATAATTATGGATTATAATGACTTATACTGTCTTTTTACACATTGCATCGTGCCGCGTAAACATAAAACCATGTCTGCATTTGTGATCAGAGAAAGGACAAACAACAAGCGCTACTCTACACTGCTCAAAACCCGCGTTTGAATCGTCAGTGGCAAATTCTTTAAATATAAAAAAAACTTACTTACAGTCTGTGAGTCAGAACAGCCGGCATTGTAGTCTACTCTCCCAGGATCAGGAAACAGTCCTCCATAAAATGCGCTGCACACACATCTGAATATTTGGGTTGAACACAACACAAGGCGGCCTTGAGTGAGCGGCGGCCGGAGGGCTTGCGGCAACCACATGTGATGACCCCGGGCTGGACTCCGCTTCGTTCACGGTGAAAGCCGATCCGGCGATCCACTGGATGAAGTTCATGTATTTCTTCAGCGACCAACACGGATCAGCTCTAGACATGACAAAGCGGATATCGTCCTCTTTTGGAAGGCCAAACAAAGTAGTTTCGCTTTCACAATGAAACACAAAGCGTCTCGACATAGTGGCAGCAACAATACTACAGCGAGAAAAAGTTACACCTTCTTTCTTTGCGTGAACATTTGGGCGGTGTTATGCAAATCTTCCCACATCGTGACATAGACATGTGGGGGCGTGTTAGAACGAGCCGTTTTAGGTAGGCGTGGTTGACTCTTAAGAGTTAAGAATATCTCTTTGGATTTGAGACTTTAGTCTTTGCAACTTTACAGATCTTCTTTATGCACCAAGAGCTTGTAACACTCCAAAGAGAAAGGAAAAATTAAAATGGCATCATATGACCCCTTTAAGTTTGATTAAAACAAAAACAAATATCTGCCAGTGGGCTCAGAAGAATCAACTTAGTTCAACAGGTTTGATATTTACAGATGTTTGTTCTTGTTTTTAGCCTAAACTCATTTTATATTGTTCAGTTCCACAGAAAACAAGACTTCATATTTTATTTTGCATCTCAAGTAAATCTGTCTTGATTTAAGAATATTTAGATATTTGTATTGGAAAAAAAATTAATAAATAAAAGACTGAGAATGTTTTATTTTTTTTGCAATGCATGCAAAATGTTATGCCATAACTTTATGAAATTAAAGTTATGGCATATACTTTCTGATTTAAGACGTTTAAGGCCTAAAATTTGTGATAGACACCTGCAGAAACCCTCATACGATTTAACACATGATGATTTTTAACATATTATAAATTTATTTAAAAAATAATTTATAAAAAAACTAATTTCTAGCTCTAAATTCTGATTAGATTATCTATATACACTGTTCTTTTTCTTCAAAATTATATTTAGTTGTACCTGCTTGCGCGCTTCAATTTGCTGAATCTTTATCCTGACAGACAGCAACATCTAGAGGTGAAACAAGAGCTAAACACACACACACACACACACACACACACCCCACAAGTGTACAAACCAATGAGACCAGGGCTCAAATGAATATAGCTTTAATTTATCAGCGTGCTCGGAGACAAAATATACCATAAGTAAACAATTCTCATTTTCTTGATATCTTACAAGTAATAATCTTTATGGTTCAATCACAAAAATTATCTTATTCTTTTACACTTTATTAGAAAAAAGAAAGGAAAACACACAAGCACACAACAATCACTAACAATTATCCTTCAACACAATCACACTTATCAGTGAGTCTCTTGTACACACACACACACACAAGCCCTCATTATACCCATTCAAGAAAGGGGAATTTTTGAGAATGAATAAAATAATGAATCATGTAATAAAAAAAGGAAAGAGGGTTATTTTGGACCCTGGGACTTCACAAAACGTAATACCTTCAATCGCTTGTTCAACAATCTCGAGTGTCATTATTCTGTGTTCTCAGCATATCAGGATTTTTCAAGAAGCATTTTATGGCTAAACACACACTTACTGTTAGTCTGGGTTGATGCTTATTCCCAGATTAATTTCTAACTAAAACAAGGGATAATTTGGCAGGGAAAAAACATACATTCCTGAAGAAAAAAAGTCTCTGTATGTGATTCTTTTCACTGTAAGGCAGTTCACAGAGACATGACGAAGTTCACAAATGTCTTTAGCCTTTTCTCCCTTTATTTTTCCCCTTTTTTAGGTCAGGAGTAAATAACAGTGGCAGCCAACACAATCACAGCACAGGCCAACATTAACAACTGGAATCTTAAGATGCTTTGGACTTAAAAAAAAGGGAGTGAAGATCTGTTTCATGGGTGAATCTAACACGTCCGGGTCATATTTCACCCCAAAATCAAAAGAAAGAAATAGGAAATATATTGCTTAAAGAAAATTAAGGCCTATTTTTAATTTAAAATGTCACATTGTGAGAAAAAAAAAAAAATTAAGTACATTTCACCCAAATTCTTATTACTGTAATGCAAAAAAAAAAAAAGAAAAGTGAAAAAATATATGATTTTGAATGGTAAAGAATTGCATGGTATTTATCGTACAACGTTTCTACTGATTTAAATAATACAGTTTTTTTTACCGTAATACAATTAAAATACTGCATTAATGACAATCTAGAAAAATGGGAATAATGGGAATTACAAAAAATAAAAATTAAATAAAATAAATTTTCTGACCTATTACAGCAAAGAGAATTTGGGTAAAATGTGTTTTATCACAATGTAAACATTTATAAAGCTCCTAAAAACAGGCATAATTTAACCTTTTTTTTTCATTTTGATTTGTTTGTGAAATGTTACTTGAACATGTTTTTTTTTTTTTTTTTTAAAATTCACCCTCGAACTTCTGAAAGGTGGAATGTGTCTCAAAACTTAATGAGCACTCTACCTAGACAGTACTTTTGGCCACCATAAATACATAATGAGTTTTGAGACTATATTTACTATTTAATTATTTCATTGTGCCTCATTCTGTTGGCTAAAGTTTTCCCATTTCCCCCATTATAACAGCTGATGCTGCATCTGCACACAATCTCACTCTCTCACTCACACACACACACACACACACACACACACATCAAAATATCATAAAAAAGCAGCAATGTAGTCTGTCCTGTATGAGTGTCCTGTTGAGTCTCTCAGGTCCTGGAACAGCAGGTAGAAGTAGAGAAACGCTCCAGTAATCTCACGTGTACGTTAGCGCACGTTCAGCGCACTAGTGTGAAGGCCCTGTGTTCTTAGAAGTCCGTGTGTCCTGGGTTAAACCAGGCTCCTGGGTGTACCGTTCAGCGCTGTGGATTTGAGTCGGGCCAGGCCGTTACCGCTGCTGCTGGGGTGGCTGGAGTGCACCGCCGCTCCTGTCCTCTGGGTAGAGCTGCTCACCTCGAATACCTCGTGGATGGCCTTTCGAAAGCAGTGGAAGTTGTAGTCTATCAAACCTGTGGAAGATAGAGACATGAGCCACGTGCGAAATTGCAAACGCGACATCTTTAAGAAAGAAACACTGTGGTACTTTTATCATTTTGTTGGTTGGAGCAGTCTGAAAATCAACCATTCAGCCACTCACATAGCGTGTATGGAAGCCCGTTTCTGCCACTGAATAAAAAATAAAAAAGGTAATTGCGACTTTTTATCTCACAATTCAGACTTTTTTCTCAGAATTGAGTGATACAAACTCGCAGTTCTGACTTTTTTCTCAGAACTGAGTGATACAAACTCGCAATTCTGACTTTTTCTCAAAATTGTGAGATATAAACTCGCAATTGCGAGTCAAAAAGTCGTAATTGTGAGATATAAACTTGCAATTCTGACTTTATTTCTCAGAATTGAGTTTATATCTCGCAATTCTGACTTTATAACACGCAATTGCGAGTTTATATCTCACAATTCAGAGAAAAAAAGTCAGAATTGCGAGAAAAAAAAGTCAGAATTGCGAGTTTTTATCTCTCAATTGTGACTTTTTATTGCGAGTTTATATCTCACAATTCTGAGAAAAAAAAGTCAGAATTGTGAGATAAAAACTTGCAATAACCTTTTTTAAAAAATTTTTATTCAGTGGCGGAAACGGGCTTCCATATAGCGTGAGACCAACCAATGGAAGAACAAACATTTTGGAAAAATTTGACACTAAAGGGATAGTTCACCCAAAAATTTAAATTCTGTCATTAATTACTCACCCTCGTGTCGTTCCAAACCGTAAGACCTTTGTTCGTCTTTGGAACACAAATTTTTTACATTTTTAAAAAAAATAAAAGCTCTCTGACCCTCCGTAGACAGCATTAGCCGCATATTCACTGTCGGGCCAAAAGCGGGCGTGCTAGTGCGTGCCAGAGGTATGTCATAAAAATATAATAATGGTTTTTGTTCGGGAGAAAAATATAGAAATGATCATTCTTTCTAAATGTGATGTATAGGCTATAGGCTACGGTGACTACAAATAAACAAACAAAAAAAAGACTCATAAGTAGGTAGGCTATGTTCATACCGCTTTATTTCAGTGCGACTAATTTGCAATCCTGATAAATTAACTCATTTAAATCTTTAACAAAGCATACAAACAAACGGCTGCTTTTATCATGTTCGTTTTGTGCTCGCGCTAGTTCCAGTGACTTACTTCTTATTCGTTTTCTGATAAGGGGCAGCGGAGCTTCTGGCCCAACGGTGGAAACGCAGCGTGATTTTGGACTCGGTGCTACAGGTCCGAGGCTATTAGCCCCGCCCGGCCCGTTAAAAGCACTGGTTCGCACTGGCCCGACAGTGGAAAAGCGGCTAATGCAACTGCAATGTTCCCGGGTCCAGAAACGTAGCAAGGACATCGGTAAAATAGTCCATGTGACATCAGTGGGTCAACCATGCACCATTTTGGGGTACTCTCCAAAATAGCGGAAGACGGTAACTCGGGGAGAAGAATTGTTGAATAAATTATGTTATTGTTTTCTTTGCACACAAAAAGTATTCTCGTAGCTTCGTAAAATTACGGTTGAACCACTGATGTCACATGGACCGTTTTACTTGCTACGTTTCTGGACCTGGGAACACTGCAGTTGCATTGCTGTCTATGCAGGGTCAGAGAGCTCTCAGATTTGATCAAAAATATCTTAATTTGTGTTCCGAAGACGAACGAAGGTCTTATGGGTTTGGAACGACATGAGGGCGAGTAATTAATGGCAGAATTTTCATTTTTGGGTGAACTATCCCTTTAATTATGGCATCTGTGGTTCAGTGAAGAACTTTAACATCCATGGAACTTTTCAATTACACAAAAGTTTCTGTATAGGAAAAAAGATTCTTTCGATTTTTGAAATCAGGGGTTCTTTTAAGAACTGTTCGCCGAAAGGTTCTTTGGAGAGCCAAAAAGGGTTCTATGTGGTACTTTACCTTCACACGAGTCAAGAAACATGCTGATATTCTATAGCGAATGATCATGTCAAACGTCTGTACCTTTTCTCTCAAAGCTCTCTTCTCTCAGGATGCAGACCAGAGCCAGGAACTTGGTGACCTCCTTCAGGTAAAGCACTGTGGTGTTGTTCAGCTTTATGATGGCCAGAGACTCTTTATCATAAGCGTTACTGTTGCTGTCGTCTTTTAGGCTAAAAACATTCAATAAATGGGTTAAAAAAAAAGCTCTAACACATAACAGAAGACACAATATAAATCAGCATATTAGAATGACAAAACTGAAAATTGAACTTCACATTACAGAAATAAATTACATTTTAAAGTATATTATAATACAAAACAATTATTGTAAGTTGTAATAACATTTCACATTTTTCTCTGTTTTAACTGTTTGTTTGCTTAAATGCAGCCTTGATGAGTTTAAGAGATGCCTTTCAGAAACATAAAAAAAAAAAAACGTCCCAACACCAAACTTTTAAATGGTAGTGAATTTCTAGAGCACTGCATCCCAGTTTCTCACCCATAAATACATGAGACGTCAATGACGACATCGATCATATCACAGCAGAGCTCGTATGACTGCATGTCCACTGGAGAGCTGTCCGTGGCGATGTAGATCTTACTGACCACATCGAACAGGAACGCTTTCTCAATCCCAGAATTCTAAAAAGGGAACAATATATTGACAAATATGCACTATGGATTTCGACTAGACCAAGTACAGTACAAATGGAATCTCGCTCAGTTCGCAATCTAGAATCGGAAAGAGACATTCTTTCATTTAAAGAGGAAAATAAAAGTGAGGATATGCAGCTGTGTACATACAGAAATGAATATGTTGAGGAGGTTTTCCAGAGTGGGCAGTTGAGGGATGAGTTTCTGGACCACCTTACTGAAGGCCTCAAATATGGAGTGATCATAGATGCTGGTGAGATAGAAACTGAAAACAAATAAAGAGAAACAGAATTCATACATAATATATTTTGGCATATGACACATTTCATCCAGAAATGCCAAAAAATTAGCTCCAACGACAACGAGCAATTTGCTTAATATTAAAAAAAGGAAACATTATATGGAAGTAAAATAATTTTAAAAACAACATAAACACATTGAACTTTCACAATGTGACATATTTTTTGTATATTAGAATACAGGTTTTGTTTAGGCAGAGATAATAATGGTAGACTGTGATAATATTGGTAAATATTATTTTTCCTGGCCAAAGTGACCTTGAAAAGATGTTTTGGAGGTGGATAAAAGTTTTGGATTTGCATGAAATATTTGAAAGAAAATAAAAATATTTTCCTAAACCCCACACTGGTGAATATAGCACAATAACATAAGAGATATCTGTTTTAAGTAGGTTACATTTTTACATAATATATACTTAATCAATAAAAGGACCATCCATCTACCCTGGAATAAAAATAAAAGGGGAAATATAATATCAAGAGAATGTATTGCTTGCATTACCAGTGTTATTTTAGTATTATTATTTACTATTATAGAATTAATATTTTAATAAATAAGTTTTACTTTTATATTTAAATTTTTTTGTTATTTTATTATGTGCTTTTGATATTTTTGTAATATATTTCTATTTAGCTTTAATTTATTTTCATTTCACTTTTAGTAATCCCAGTACTTCAACTTAATTTTTTTTTAAATTTCAGTTATTTCGTTTTTTTTAATCAAATATTTATATTTAATTTCAATTAATGACATTTTTTTTTTTTTTTTTTTAGAAGTTTCAGTTTTATTTAACAATAACAACACTATTTAGTACTCGTTCTCAAACACATTACATGCTGGAACTTGCTGAAAGCAAAACATAATCCTACCAAACGCTCTCTATCCATTATTAGACTGTATCATGGCAAATTGATCTGGCTTTAGCATCAGTATGACCAACCTGAGGTGAAGCTTTTCCAGACTGGCGTCAGCTAGATCATCATTAGCCCTCTGATGAATGTCTCTCTGCGTCTCTATCTTATGATCGTCTGATAAACCGTCCACCTTGTGTATAAACACCTCAAAATTGATCTCCGGGTTCACCCTGAACGCCCTCGACACCGTCAGATGTAGCCGGCCTAATGCTTCTACATAGTCATCCTACAGAGAGAGAGACATCCAAACACAACGGTAAGCGCCAGGCACGGAGCCAATTCCCATACCGGAAAAGTAAAAATGAAAGCATGCATATTAAACAACAAGCACTCTCAATCACAGTCACTCTTATATTTCACTTGTATCCGTTCACCTGAGCATCGATGACGAAAATCAACGCGCCGGTGCCCCTGAAAATCATCTCGTAATCGAATGTAGGGTCGAAAAAGTCCACCTGCCCAGGAAAGTCCCATATGTGAAAGTTTACGAAGGAACTGCCAGAGATATCATCCTTGTAGATCTTGTTGGTGCTCTCCAGGAAGAGCGTCTCGTTTGGGGACATCTTATGAAACACCACCTGAGATTCACAACATTAAACCATAGGGGTATATGCAATGTACAACAAACACAGATATTATAAAACATAACTGATTCATTCCTTATTCAATTATAAACACAAGGCTAGTTACATCTTAAAGGACAACAATATTATTTCATCCACAAACATCCAACAGAAAATGAGTTCTAGAGGATGAAGGATTTTAAGCAGCATTAAATGTTACTTAATAATAGGAAATGTTCTTTTGCAATTATAGTTCTAAATGCAACATGAAGCAATATTTGAAATTATATAAATTATATATATATGTGTGTGTGTGTGTGCGCGCAAATATGTTCTAATTATATATTGTATGTGTGTGTATACAATATATATTTTGAAAATATTTACACACACACATAGAGGTGCATCTCAATAAATTAGAATGTCGTGGAAAAGTTCATTTATTTCAGTAATTCAACTCAAATTGTGAAACTTGCGTATTAAATAAATTCAAACTAGGCTGCTTATGTTGAAGTGTTTGGGATGTGGCTTTTAATGATGAGACCTTTTTTGTAATCAGGCTCTCAAAAAGTATATAACAATTTGGATATAGATTTATCGGCCAGCATATCGGTTATCGGCTTTCAAAAATAAAGAATAATCGGTTATCGGTATCGGCCAAAATTTTCATATCGGTGCATCCCTAATATATATATATATATGTGTGTGTGCAAATATTTTCAAAATATATAATTGTATGCGTGTATACACAATATATATTTTGAAAATATTTACACACACACATATATATATATATATTCATATAATTTATATATTTATAATGGTTCCACTTAAAAAAATACCAAAACGTTTAGCTTAGAAAACGTACTGTCCCTTAAAACAAGTACTGTTACGGTACCATAGTACAGTGACGGTAATAGTGTGGTGCGTCTAAAAATACCATGGTAACGTTACTGAAATTCATATACAATTGTATTTTGTGGCACTCCATGATACTTCCAATAATACCATGGTATTACACGTCCAGTTTATTAGTACTATGGCACCGTGGTATTGTAAGGTGTTTGAACATGTACCATGGTATTTTCGTACGTACCACGGTATACGTAAAAACAACACACTGCCATCTGATACCATTATTGTACCATTGGTACTGCCACAGTACGTTTTTGTAAGAAACGGTAAGTTACACCTGTATGTAACTATATGTACTTCATACAACAGCGTGGTATTATATCGGTAATGTCCAAATCGAAGGCTTTACCATGGTAACGTACTTTAATTGTTAGTGCAGTACTGTATCCCAATGGGATCTGACCTTCTGGATGGAGGATTTCCCGCTGCGCCTCAGTCCCATCAGCAGGATTCTGGGTTTACTGTCTGCAGACGGCGAGTTTTCCAGATCTTCCTGCATCATATCCATGTTTTCCACGCCGTAGCCGAAATCTTTAGGGAAAGAGTCCACCAGGCTTCCGGCTAGCTGCTCCTCGTACTCGATCGACATTATAACCCCGTTTTTAAAGCTTTGAATCCCTCTGATCTGTCTGTGTGGACTCTGTTGGCTCTGTTTGAGTGATTGAGGTGGGATCGGTGTGGATTACAGGTTTAGTTTGAATACAGACGAGGAGGTTTCATAGTGGGAAGCGGTTAGCTTGCTGCATGAATACAAACAAACGGGAAGCTGATCATATGACAGGCGCAGAGGGGAACGCCTGCAGGCGAGCGGAGAGGTCTGCAGTGTGAGGGAGGCCTCTGAGTGGAGCGGTCTCTGAGATGATCAACACTTTGGAAACATTTTCTGGATATATTATATGTATGAAAGACGATGTATTCTATTTAACGTCCTTTAAACATTTAATGCCGCCAATTATTCTTTTATAATGCAGAACCCACACTAAAATATTTTTGTTGAATTTAATGTACAAATGGAGAACGTAAAAATAAAGCTAGGCTAATATATTAAAATAAAAATATAATATTCATAAAAAATAAAGATTGTATATTTTTATTATATTAATATACTAGAAGTAGAAAATTAATTATGTTGTAGAAACGTTTTCTTTTTGCTTCAAACGTTAAACATACGAGTAAAATAATTATATTATATTATATTACATTATATTATATTATATTATGTTATATTTAGTGCTGTCAAACGATTAATCGTGATTAATCGCATCCAAAATAAAAGTTTTAGTTTACATAATATATGTGTATTTACTGTGTGTGTATATATATATATATATATATACAAACACGTGCATGTATATATTTAAGAAAAATATGTTATGTTTTAATTTGAAATAAATGTATATATAATATAAAATATAAGAATATGAATATATAAATGTATACACATGTAAATATTTTCAAAATATATACTGTATGTGTGTGTATTTATATATACAGAATAAATATACACAGTACACATACATATATTATGTAAACAAAAACTTTTATTTTGGATGTGATTAATCGTGATTAATAATTTGACAGCACTATTATATTACATTATATTATATTATTACACCGCTCATCCTACAGGGGGCGCTTATAAACACATGAATGAGTCACACGCTTCTTTCTCATTGACAGACTGTAGCAGAAGAAGCAGCAGCAGTGTAGACAGGAAGAGCGTTTGTGAGTAAAAACAAGCTTTTGTACACATATTTTAAAAGCATATGATTATTCTTCCAGCGTTATATTGGAATACATTTGACACTTTCTGTGTTGTGAGTTTCATAACGTACGTTAATACGCTGTTGACACGTTGCTATCAGCTGATACATTTGAAGAAGTTTCATTCAAGCACGCGTTTGAAATCTGACCAAAATAAACACAACTATTAGACAAATATTTCATTTTGAATGAACAAACAATGATGATTTAATAAGGAACGCATTAAGATTTTGTTTAAGGCTGAAACATTGGACTCTGGTTTGTTTTTAATAATGCTGGATTTTGTAATGCACTGTAGTTTTATTCAGTTTATGGTTACGGATATGTAAAATATGACACATTTTGGGATTTTATTTGACTTATTTACTTGTACTTTACTTGATTACTGAAGTTAATTCAGTAGTCCTTTTATGTTAGTGGGACAGTGTATTTAAATGAAGATTTAATTGCTGTCAAACAGAACATTATTACATTACATTCCTGTTTTCAACACTGATGCTAAGAACCATAATTCATAATTTATCAGGAAATCAGAATATTTCTGATTTCTGAAGGTTCATATGAGACTGAAGACTGAAGTAAGGGTGCCTGAAAATTCAGTTTTAATAATATTAAAATATTGCTGTTTTTATTGCATTTTGTGAGCAAATAAATGCAGCCTTTGTGAGCATTGGGACAGAGACTTTTATCAAAAACATTAAAACAAATCTTAATTATTACAAACTTGGCTGCCTGTGTGTGTGTATATTAGAAATATAAGAATTTAATGAACTTTTATGAATTAAAATTTCTTATTTAATGTGAATTTCTATTTTGCCTGTTGTTTAACAAAAGCATTTACAATACATCAGACATCAAAATATTAAAATGTACAGTAGAATAGATGGATAACTCTATTTAAAGGGTTAGTTCACCCAAAAATATTTTTTTACTCACCCTCAAAGCATCCTAGGTGTATTTGACTTTCTTCTTTCAGACGAATCCAATCGGAGTTATATTAAAAATGGTCCTGGCCCCTCCAAGCTTTTCAATGGGGGTAAGCCGGTGTTTATTGTCAACAGTTCAGAAGACGTGAAATAAAGTGTCGTGCATCCCTCACACGGCACCGGGGGGTGAATAAAGGCCTCCTGTAGCGAAATCCATGCGTTTTTGTAAGATAATATCCATATTTCAAACGTAATAAACACTTTTTTCTCACTTCCGGTGTCTGTCATATGTGGAAGCCGTTCCGGCGGATGACGTAAGATGTCGACGTTGCGTGATTAGTGACGAACGCGGAGACTAGGGTTGGGCGATGTCTACCAAATTGGCATCGGTCGATGTCTACAGTGAAACGTCGTGATGGACGATGACATCGGGGCGGGGTGGGGGTTAGGGGTGTGCCCAAATCGTGACACAAATAACGCGTTATATGGAGCCACTAAAAGGTTAGCCGCTTGCTAGCGGTAGCCTGTTGCATTACACTACATGAAAGTTCACTTACCTCATACACAAGAGTAAGGAGAAATGTCTGATAGGACGATGGCGAATGATTTGCAGATCCTGAGCACCAATGACAAACATCTAATCTTGTCAAGTGTGTGGTAAGTACTGCCACTCCATAGTCCTTGTGATCGCGAATCTCAAAAGTGAAAGTGAAAGTAAAATGAGAGCGCACAATCGAAAGCGGTTTCAATAGCGGCTCCCTGATGCCCGAAATTTATATACAGTCGCCTATACTTACCCAATGATATAATTGCGAAGGAAAACTATTGAAATATTTTTTTATCCTCCCATCTCGTAGGCTATTTTTTCCCTTTAGGGTTTCCGTAGTACCTTTCCGAACACGGAACTGGAATACGGTGGATTGCGGGAGAGGGGGTGGTGTGGAATCACAATGCCAGCTTAACATCGTGATGTCTGTCAGCCATCGGCGATGGACGATGGCATCGTCTATCGGCCTAACCCTAGCGGAGACAAAACAAAACGCCGGTCACGAATTAAAAGCACAAAAAGAGGATTTGTAAAGAAAAATATCGGAGGATTTCGATATAAGCCAAGAGGAGACTGGTTTTCCTTTGCTAAAGTAAGGAAACTTGGTTTCCTTTGCTCCTGCATTTCTTAGAGGTGCGCACATGACGCCTACATCCTACGTCATCCGACTGCACGATTTCTGCGCAATGTTGCCAAGTCCGTGGTTTTCCCGCGGAATTGGGCTACTTTAACACTGTTGCCGCGGGTTGTTTTTCATGTCCGCGGGTTGAAGCGACTCCAATAACATGATATTTATCCCCTGGAATGTGAATTTTAGCAGGGGAACCCCGACAAAAATGTGTATTTTACCCCCTGGAACGCGGTTTTTAACTGGGGACCCCCTCGAAACGCGATTGGGCTAGTTTTGAGTAGTGATTAGGCGGGTTTTCTTGTGAAAACCTGGCAACCCTGCTTCCGCACCACAGTCAGCGAAGTGAGAAAAGAGTGTTTATTACGTTTGAAAAATGGATATTTATCTTACAAAAATGCATGGATTCGCTAAAGGAGGCCTTTATTCACCCCCCCCGGAACCGTGTGAGGGATGTTTTATTACATATCCATATTTCAAACGTAATAAACACTTTTTTCTCACTTCCGGTGTCTGTCATATGTGGAAGCCGTTCCGGCGGATGACGTAAGATGTCGACGTTGCGTGATTAGTGACGAACGCGGAGACTAGGGTTGGGCGATGTCTACCAAATTGGCATCGGTCGATGTCTACAGTGAAACGTCGTGATGGACGATGACATCGGGGCGGGGTGGGGGTTAGGGGTGTGCCCAAATCGTGACACAAATAACGCGTTATATGGAGCCACTAAAAGGTTAGCCGCTTGCTAGCGGTAGCCTGTTGCATTACACTACATGAAAGTTCACTTACCTCATACACAAGAGTAAGGAGAAATGTCTGATAGGACGATGGCGAATGATTTGCAGATCCTGAGCACCAATGACAAACATCTAATCTTGTCAAGTGTGTGGTAAGTACTGCCACTCCATAGTCCTTGTGATCGCGAATCTCAAAAGTGAAAGTGAAAGTAAAATGAGAGCGCACAATCGAAAGCGGTTTCAATAGCGGCTCCCTGATGCCCGAAATTTATATACAGTCGCCTATACTTACCCAATGATATAATTGCGAAGGAAAACTATTGAAATATTTTTTTATCCTCCCATCTCGTAGGCTATTTTTTCCCTTTAGGGTTTCCGTAGTACCTTTCCGAACACGGAACTGGAATACGGTGGATTGCGGGAGAGGGGGTGGTGTGGAATCACAATGCCAGCTTAACATCGTGATGTCTGTCAGCCATCGGCGATGGACGATGGCATCGTCTATCGGCCTAACCCTAGCGGAGACAAAACAAAACGCCGGTCACGAATTAAAAGCACAAAAAGAGGATTTGTAAAGAAAAATATCGGAGGATTTCGATATAAGCCAAGAGGAGACTGGTTTTCCTTTGCTAAAGTAAGGAAACTTGGTTTCCTTTGCTCCTGCATTTCTTAGAGGTGCGCACATGACGCCTACATCCTACGTCATCCGACTGCACGATTTCTGCGCAATGTTGCCAAGTCCGTGGTTTTCCCGCGGAATTGGGCTACTTTAACACTGTTGCCGCGGGTTGTTTTTCATGTCCGCGGGTTGAAGCGACTCCAATAACATGATATTTATCCCCTGGAATGTGAATTTTAGCAGGGGAACCCCGACAAAAATGTGTATTTTACCCCCTGGAACGCGGTTTTTAACTGGGGACCCCCTCGAAACGCGATTGGGCTAGTTTTGAGTAGTGATTAGGCGGGTTTTCTTGTGAAAACCTGGCAACCCTGCTTCCGCACCACAGTCAGCGAAGTGAGAAAAGAGTGTTTATTACGTTTGAAAAATGGATATTTATCTTACAAAAATGCATGGATTCGCTAAAGGAGGCCTTTATTCACCCCCCCCGGAACCGTGTGAGGGATGTTTTATTACGGATGCACGCACTTTATTTCACGTCTTCTGAACTGTTGACAACCAACACCCGCTTACCCCCATTGAGGGGCTTGGAGGGGCCAGGACGATTTTTAATGTAACTCCGATTGGATTCGTCTGAAAGCAGAAAGTCACATACACCTAGGATGTTTTGAGGGTGAGTAAAACACAGGCTAATTTTCATTTTTGGGTGAACTAACCCTTTAACCCCTTTGAAACCTGCTGTAATAAAACAGTATGTTGTTTTGTGGATTGTTTTCCTTCTCTAGAGGCGCTGTATGCAGACATGAGTGTCCCAGACTACATGCAGTGTGCTGAGGACCATCAGACGGCCCTGGTAGTGGTCCAGCCCATGGGCATCGTCCCAGAGGACCAGTTCTTCCGCATCTACAAACGCATTGCCAGCGTGAGCCAGGTCAGCATACGGGACTCCCAGCGCGTCCTCTTCATCCGATACCGCCACCATTACCCCCCTGAGAACAACGAGTGGGGCGACTTTCAGACCCACCGCAAAGTGGTGGGTCTCATCTCAGTGACCAGCTGCACCACGACCAAAGAGTGGCCGCAGACGTCCGACCGGTTCCAGGGGCAGAAGGAGGTGTTCGGCTCCACGCTGTATGACTCACGGCTGCTGGTGTTTGGGCTGCAGGGGGAGGTGGCGGAACAGCAGCGGACAGATGTGGCGTTCTACCCCAGCTACGACGACTGTCCTGATGTGGAGAAGCGGGTGGAGGATTTCGTGGAGTCTATATTTATCGTCCTGGAGTCGAAAAGGCTGGACAGAGCAACCGATAAATCTGGCGATAAGATACAACTGCTGTGTGCGCCGTTTGAGAAGAAGGACTTTGTGGGCTTGGACACAGACAGCAGGTGAGTTTGGGCTCTGAGAATATGTTAATCTTTATCGGCAGCCAGATTAATCGGTTATTAGAAAACCCATCGCCTATATGTCTGTATCTAGAAAAGGGTGGCTCATGAAACTTCAATTAACACTTAATTAATATCTTGCTAAGGCAAGCATCATTATTTGGAATGCATGATATAGAGGTACAATATCGGTTATTATCAGCTGATATTAAATATATTTTTTACAGTTTTTTTTGTTTTTGTTTTTTGAGCGAATTATCAGCTTTAGAATAAACCAGTGGCAAACTTCCTGCTTGCTTGACTAATGGTAGATTTGTACTGTTTTGCAGTTCTGTTTGGTTATGCGTAATTGACACACTTCACCTTTATGGTGAGAATTTTTGAATCTGTGTTGGAAATATGGGAACGATTCTTTGGGTCCTGGTGCTTGAAAGGGTCAAGTGTTTAATCAAGCATACTGTATTTCTTATTCACTATCTCTGTCTGTTTTAACTGCAGAAATGCATGGATGTCATTCAGTAATTCATGAGTGATTGCTCGCAAAGCTTTATGCTCATCTCATCTACGGTCGCAGGCAGCATGAATTTGAATATGACATCCATGTGTCTGTAGATAACACTCTCTGAGTTTAGTTGTGAAGTTCTTGATCGGAAGTTAAATATATAATATAAATATAGTATATATAATGTATAATATAATATATAATAAATAGATTATGTTTATAAAGATTATATTTATTTATATAAAGCAATACTATTAATTCTAGTTTTAAACATATTTTTGTTTTTAATGCATATAGTAATATATAAAAAGTATTTATTTATTTATTTTTGGCAAAGTTGTGTAGGTTTAGGCTAATTGATTATTTATTAAAATAATAATCTTAGTAATTATCTATATATATGTTATGCAATATTATTTTAAATACATGTATTTAGATTTTTTTCTATGTTTCTCTCTCTCTCTCTATATACAGTATATAAAATGATTTAAATATATGATAAAATTATGTAAATACTATTATTGTATAAATATTAAATATTTATATAAATAATAAATATTATTGTATTATTGTATATGTAATTGCTGATTTTTAAAAAACGAATTTTACTTATTTAATTTGACTTATTTGGTGCATATTTGATGTTATTATAAATCTTTTCCCTCCTCCAATATAGCATTGAAACATTTAAAGATGATAGTTTAGTGTAGTTGTATCTGTCAAAAAATATTATGCTTGAATTGGGCAAAAATAAGTCTTTCAATATTGGCTTAATCATTAGAATATTGCTGATCATATAAAGTATTTATATGTTTACTGATACATCCTCTCTATGTAAAAGTGTAAACTTGAAGAAAAAGTTAAAATGAAGAATATTCTCCTCTTTCTCTCCTGTCTGGTTCTCACTTGAATAACACTTGACCCTCGTGCACACTATCTATATATGGGTCCTTCCACCAGAGTTTTTATAAAATAGAAATCCCTCATTTAGAAAAATTGATTTAGTTTTTTCATCCCCATGGGATTGACCTCAAGTTGCTTTATGTCCCCTTTAGTTAAAATCCCCCCCTCCCAGTTTTGCCTGTGCATCCCCTTTTCCTTCTGCATCCGTATCTTCACCTCCAGCTTCCCTCTCTCTGTCTGTAAATCCTGGGCTAAGACAGAAGACCAAGCTTGATGCAAAACCACATCAGCATATTTATGTTCCATACAAGGAGAGCCAAATGAGACGACATCGATCCACCGCTGATAAAAATAACTTTAATTAAATATGGCTGACGTCACCTGCACTTGGCTGCGAGCGCGTCTTGCATCGATTAAGCTCTGTGCGTAAATGCTGAATGTTTATCTGATGCCTGTTGCTGCTCATCTTCCTCAGGCACTACAAGAAACGCTGTCAGGGCCGCATGAGGAAGCACGTCGGGGATCTGTGTTTGCAGGCAGGCATGCTGCAGGACGCCCTCGTACATTATCACATGGCTGTAGAGCTGCTGCGGTCTGTCAATGACTTCCTATGGTTGGGAGGTAAGATGGTGATTGATTGATAAACGTTTCACAGATATACTTTCACACCAAGTAAGTGTTATTTTAGTATCGTTGTTAGGGCTGCACGATTATGACAAAAATCATAATTGTCGATTATTCCTTTGAAATTGTAATTGCGATTATTAATTTACGATTAAATGAATGATGTTTACACCTTTGCAACTGCATGCCATATTTTTATATGAAAATAAACAAGCTGAAAACACTAACTGAAAAACTTTTATTGCTTTTTTATAGTATTAAGCCTCAAATGTCAACTATACATCAGATTGGTTTCTCTTTAAATAAAAAGGTAAAAATATGCATGGTATTATAATGTTATTCTAAAATTAAAACAATGGAAAAACCCTTAAGATAACATGTAAAAAAAAAAAAAAAAAGCATCTTAAGCATGCAGAATAACATAAGTGGACTTTGAACGATTAATTGGTGCTTTGAACGATTATGTAATTGTAATTACTAAAAATTTCTAAAGTAAGTACATGTAATGTGTAACAGGCTTGCTGCGATAGTCGGTGTTAACAATGTTATACCGATCGGTGTTAAGCAGCAACACCGGTTACGTCACTTGCCCACACATATATTACGTAAACAAAAACCTTTATTTTGGATGCTATTAATCGCGATTAATCTTTTGACAGTACATATATATAGGCTAAGGGAGTTTGACGTTGTATTTTGTAATTGATGCTGAATTGACGCTAATTTGAAAGTGAAAGTAAAATGCATTTGCGCATTCACAAGCTATTTAAAAGATAAGGAAAGTGACAAAAAGAGGAAAAAAACTAACAAAATTCATATTTTTACTTTTTTATAATTTAAAGAAGAAACCAATCCGATGTATAGTTGTCATTTGAGGCTTAATACTACAGAAAAGCACAAAGTTTTTCAGTTAAGAGTGTTTTCAGCTTGTTTATTTTCATATAAAACTACGGCATACAGTTGAATCAAACAATGGTATAAACATCATTCAATTTAAATTGTGATAATCGCAATTACAATTTCAAGGGAATAATCGACAATTATGATTTTTTTCATAATCGTGCAGCCCTATTAGGTCGTTAATTTCAGCATTTACCAATACATTATTAAAATCAAATGTTGTATCTGGAAATATTATACTGTTTGTTAGGGCTGCACGATTATGACAAAAATCATAATTGTCGATTATTCCTTTGAAATTGTAATTGCGATTATTAATTTACGATTAAATGAATGATGTTTACACCTTTGCAACTGCATGCCATATTTTTATATGAAAATAAACAAGCTGAAAACACTAACTGAAAAACTTTTATTGCTTTTTTATAGTATTAAGCCTCAAATGTCAACTATACATCAGATTGGTTTCTCTTTAAATAAAAAGGTAAAAATATGCATGGTATTATAATGTTATTCTAAAATTAAAACAATGGAAAAACCCTTAAGATAACATGTAGAAAAAAAAAAAAAAAGCATCTTAAGCATGCAGAATAACATAAGTGGACTTTGAACGATTAATTGGTGCTTTGAACGATTATGTAATTGTGGCATCCGTAATTGTAATTGCGATTAGAAATTCGATTAATTGTGCTTCCCTAATCGTTGTGATACTTTTATAGTTTTTATTAATATGTTAAAATAGTTTTTTATATTTTCATTTAAATTCAAGTTTTAGTAATTTTGTTGTTTTTATAAAATGTAGTAGTTTTTGTAATATTGTAATAATAATTGATGAATATTTTATTTTTTATTTGAAATTAATATTATTAATTCATTTAGTTATTAAACTAAATAAATCAGAAATGTTAATAGCTGAAATAGGAAATGTATATAAAAATAAACCTAATCTTAGTTAAAAAAAGCTTTGCTTTAGTTAACTTACAGTATCAATCAATACTATTATAGTTTTTGTTTTTGTTTATTTTTTTATATTTTTGGTTTTCATTTTAAGTCTGAAGTTTTAGTATAATTTTGTAAATTTTTATTTGAGTTATTTTAGAACATCAAGTTAAAAGAAAAGAAAATGAGATGTTAAAAACTTTTTATTTTATTTCATTTTATTAAAATTTTCAGTAAACAAATTTTAGTACTTTTAGGGCCAGTTTTAGTAAACAAGGCAAATTAGCGCAAGAGTGCAATTCCAAAACAGTGCCGATGGGTGTGGAAATTAATGCGGGTGATTTACTAACAACACGCAAATTAAAGAACACAGACGCAACATCTCATTTACATATCGACCAACGCAATATAACAAGCGCAGCGCAAATCAGCGTAGTCACAAATAAAGAATAAAGAAATAATTAAGCCACAGTATGCTACGTTGAAAAGAACTGGAGGCCAAAAAAATAAAGGTTTGCTAGAAGTTTTGGTAGACCTGGTATTGCGAGACTCGTAGTTTAGGGTTCCAAGTCGTCTTTTATTTTCTGAAGCAAATTAAAAATAACATGGCTTGGCAAACGATATGATCAGACAATGTGTTCTTCTGGCATTCCAAATAAATGAATAGGCTACATGTGGAAAAAAATCCTCTCCCTTCTACCACACACTCTCTGTTCTCTGCGGTGCCTCCTCTAAGCAACAATAATTGCAGCCATTTCAATCGCAAAATAGTTTACGACTTGCTTTTTTGTTGGGCGTTAAATAATGGCGCAAATGCTACTAATCTGATGAGCGCAAACTTTAGTAAAACGCATTGCGTGATTCATTTGAATACTCTACTCCTATAAATTTTGCGTCTGAAAGGGACACTCCTATAAATGCATATTCAGTAAGGTCAGGCGCAAAAATAACTGTCCACGCCTTTTCAGTGCTAATTCGTCACTGCACGTCTTTAGTAAAAACTGACAGAACAATTTTAACGCCAAAAGACGGTTTGCACTGGCGCAAGCTGTTAGTAAAACTGTCCCTTAGTTACTATAATAATCCTGGTGTGATAAAATCACGCAAAATGATATCCATTTTTTAAACTCATGTGCTGACCAGCTAACTAAGCTAACAAATCCAGTCAACTTTCATCACAACCTCCAACTCTTCACCTCCAAGCAACTGACATCTTCAGTCTTTGCCCAAATGCATCTTGCTTTAAAACCTGCATGACAGATCAACTGTCCAGTGATGAATAGTAACAATGAAATGGTTTGTGTGTTGTTCCTCAGCTGCTTTGGAGGGCTTGTGTTCTGCGTCTGTCATCTTCCATTACCCAGGAGGCACTGCGTGGAAGAGCGGAGCCCGCAAACCTGGCGTCTCCTCTGCTGCCGACGCTGGAAAGAGACACAGACCTGGTCAGTGCAGTCAGACACATCTATAGCAACACTTTTTATCTAAACAAACAGTATCAAGATGATTTTCTTCATCATATTTTTGGTTTAATGGCTTGAGAGATTATTTAACTCTGTTGTAGATCTTCTGTATATCTTGGCTTTTTTTCAATGGGTGCCGTCAGAATGGGAGTCCAAACAGCTGATAAAAACATAGCAATAATTCACAAGTAATCCACATGACTCTATTAATGTCTTGTGAAGCGAAAGCTGTGTGTTGTAAGAAGCAAATCCATCTCAAACCATTGCTTCCAGCTAAAATATGAGTCCTCTGTCCATAATATTGCTTTCTCCTGTGAAAAAGTTGAATCGGGAGAGAAATATGCACAGAGCGAGCACCGTTTACAAACAAAAACAATTCTAAACAAATATATCGGTGGATTTTGATGTGAGAGGGCAACAGAGGAGGACGGACTTTTTCACTGGATGAAGCATTATTATAGATTATGGACTCATGTTTTAGCTGGAAGTGACCATTTAAAGTTAAAATGCCTCAATGATGGATTTGTTTCTTACAAAGAAAGAAACAAACTGTTTTGTTAATATATTCTGAACTAAGAGAATGAATAATGTTTTTTTTAAAGCTTGCATGCTTCCTCAGTGTCTGTTAATGGTCATTATTTAGAACGAGCCCATCACTTCTTAGTCATGCTGCATGTCTGCCCATCCCCACTGCTCTATAGACAGCTTTATGATCATTCAGCAATGTCAGGACCATTTTGTGCCCTGATATGTGCTATACTACTAACACTGCTCGCTGCTTGTGCCCAAGAGTGAACCAGGTTCTCTCTCTCTCTGTCTCTCCCTCTCTGTTTGTTTATCTGTCCGTCTTCAGGCGCTCAAGAAGTTCTCATTGATCCAGGTACAGTAAAGCACATGTGTAGCTCAAGATATGGCTCTTGTTCCTGCCCGTTTGTGCAATTGTGACGTAGTTTTAGTTACTTGGTTGTGCTTGTGCATGTGTGCAGGTGTTTGGGTGGCCTTTTGTGTTTCTGATCTGACAGCAATGAAAATAAATATCTACAGTGATTTCAGTGCATGGATTTAATGCACAGAGCGAGCACCGTTTACAAACAAAAACAATTCTAAACAAATATATCGGTGGATTTTGATGTGAGAGGGCAACAGAGGAGGACGGACTTTTTCACTGGATGAAGCATTATTATAGATTATGGACTCATGTTTTAGCTGGAAGTGACCATTTAAAGTTAAAATGCCTCAATGATGGATTTGTTTCTTACAAAGAAAGAAACAAACTGTTTTGTTAATATATTCTGAACTAAGAGAATGAATAATGTTTTTTTTAAAGCTTGCATGCTTCCTCAGTGTCTGTTAATGGTCATTATTTAGAACGAGCCCATCACTTCTTAGTCATGCTGCATGTCTGCCCATCCCCACTGCTCTATAGACAGCTTTATGATCATTCAGCAATGTCAGGACCATTTTGTGCCCTGATATGTGCTATACTACTAACACTGCTCGCTGCTTGTGCCCAAGAGTGAACCAGGTTCTCTCTCTCTCTGTCTCTCCCTCTCTGTTTGTTTATCTGTCCGTCTTCAGGCGCTCAAGAAGTTCTCATTGATCCAGGTACAGTAAAGCACATGTGTAGCTCAAGATATGGCTCTTGTTCCTGCCCGTTTGTGCAATTGTGACGTAGTTTTAGTTACTTGGTTGTGCTTGTGCATGTGTGCAGGTGTTTGGGGGGCCTTTTGTGTTTCTGATCTGACAGCAATGAAAATAAATATCTACAGTGATTTCAGTGCATGGATTTGAATTCTTACTTTTGATTTCAGCTGGGTTTCTAACACTCTTGTAATCATCAGATGGGAATTTTTGTGTGTTTTCTTATTGATTTTTGACTGATTCAAACATCCATTATAAAAATCAGCAGTGCAGATACTTACTGGTCAGATTGGTTTATGTTTTTGATGATAACGCTTAACCATCATTTATTAGTAGTAACTAATGGGTTTGACATGGGGATTTAATTTAGACTTGCAGGATTTTACAGCACAGTACAACTTTACAACATCTGCTATTTACTGCCACCAGAGGTCAGTGTTTTGGTGTCATTTGTATTTCTTGTAAAAATTGTTAAAGATAAGAGATTCAATTTACATAATCAAATAAAAAGATTTAATTGTTTTTAATTGGTTTCTCATTTCTTTAATGCGGTTGGCCAGGTAAAACCAACAGTTCTTGGCCCAAAATACAGATTTGCAAAGTGCAGTTTGTCAATAGTATTTATGAAAATCCTTTCCAGGAGGTTATTAAAGTTAAATAAAAAATGATGCACTGATGAATCATTCCCAATGCGACCAGGGACATGGATTAATAAAGTAAATAGGGTCAATTTGTTCTCTGGTTTCTCTTGAATTTTTCTCATTCCTATAAAAACATTTTTTCTTGATGACTTTCATATTTAATTCAAGAGATTGCTTGTCGAGTTCCAGGTCTTGCATCTGACAAATTAACTCATTTTCAGCATCTTATATCTCAGAGCTGCATAATGCAAAAAATGTTAATGTTATTGTGGACTTTAGGCTTTATAGCATTTAAAACTAAGGTCATGTGAATGGAAGGGTTACAGTGGCATGCAGAGTACAGAATTGGCTTGTTTTCTTAATCTTTCATGGTGCATTTCTCATGGTCGTTTCTCTTGTTTTCCTGTCCAGGTGCTCTGACGACCAATGGCATCAGTGCAGACACGAGCACTGAGATCGGCCGAGCCAAGAACTGCCTGAGTCAGGAGGACATCATCGAGAAATACAAGGAGGCCATCTCTTACTACGGCAAGGTAATTTCTTGCACACAAAGGATCTGCTCTTTCTGAGATGCTGTTCTCTGCTGTGGAGGATCAAATTTGTTTTCTGGAAGTTCTATCCATGTGTTATTTTAGTACCGTTGAGATACTGCTATAGTATTATTATTATTTAGAATCAGTCACAGTTTAGTAATTTTTGTTGATCATTTTTAGTATATATATATTTTTAAATATGTCTATATAGATTTATAATTTTGTTTATTTCAGTTTTAGTTATTTTTTTTTAAGGTTTTAGTTCAGTGCTGCAATTATTTGATCTAAAAATTCAGTAATATATTGAAATATTATTACAATTAAAAATAATTGCTTTCTATTTTAAATGATTGTAAAATAAAATTTATTACTGTGATTCAAAGCTGAATTTTCAGCATCATTACTCTAGTCCTCAGTGTCACATGAGGGTCAGCATTTATCTGAAGTTTAAGTATTTTATTCAAATCGAAATGTTTTTTCTGTCACTTAACGGCAAAACAAAATGTTAGCGTTAAAATCTGATTTAATGAGGCACATTTAAAGCACCTCTAAAACAGCCTTTGCAAACTCTTTTAATAATAAAAATGTAATTATTTATTGAACATGGATATCTGGCCTTTTTAAAAATAATAAGTCTACCAAAGCCTTGTATTATAGCGATTCAGTTAGGGGAGTTTTAAGTGCACATTGCTTCGGCACGAAGCCGAACAGTGCTTTTTAAATGTGGTAAAACCACTTTAACATGCAGTTTCTCGTGGCTTATTGTTTTATTAAACCCTCAAAGTTCTGTTTCATTATTCATCAACTCTCACTCTGCGATGGCTAACAGGGCCGGCTCGTTTTTAAGCAGGTGTTTTTTCCACAATGCGTCTGCTGATGTGCATCTCACAGCAAGTAGCCCCTAGAGATGGTCTAAATTCTGGTATTAAAATATCTTTTTGCATGGTGCATTTTAAACTCACTGTTTCTCGTCTTGAGTGAGGCTCTTGAAAAGTAAAGTATTTGACCCCTGTCTTGTGAATGGAGCTGCTTAGTCAATCTCAACTGCTCATTTCTGCCACATCAGCTGTTCTGCCAGCAGCCAGCAGGGGACACTGCAGCCTTGTAAATTCATAGATTTGAACCGAGCACTTTGTGCCACTATCCACTGCTGTGTTTTGATTTTCAAATATGATGACACATCCTGAGCAGAGACACGTAAGAGATGGACGTACAGCATGACCTTTCTCTGACCTGAAGCTCTTTTCTTTAAATACTGTCCAGTGAGCTTCAATATTGCAAGTTTTTATCTTTCTCAGAGGCCAGTTTTCACAATCTGAAATTAGGGGTCAGCATGATTTTTAACTAAAATTAAAACAAATAATTCCTGAATCCCTATTTTTTTGGGCCCTATTCATCTGTTGTGCACATAAAATCTTATTGTATTAAAAAAAGGCTTAATAATTACATTTTTAAATGATTTATTGAATAATTTTCTGACCAATTTCTTTAACTAATATTTTCTAATATTTGCACTTCAGTATTGCAAGTTATTATAATCTTTATGGTCTCAGAGGGCAATTTTCACAATCTGAAATTATATGTTAACCTGTAAATATGACAAAACATGTATAGCAGAATGAGTGAAATATCGGCATGATGTGCCTTTTATGAAAATATGTTTTTAAAATCTTATTTATTATTGTATTAAAGAATTTAATAATAAATGTAATTTAATATTATGATTTAATCATGAACAATTTTTTTTTATTATTTAAGTTAAGTTTAAAAAATAAAAAAATAAAAAAATAATTGGAATGATTTTTAAATTAATTAAAATGAATTCAATGTTTTCTTTTGTAATTTTTTAATTTGATAATAATTTTATAATTTATGGTCTCAGCGTGCAATTCTCACAATCTGTTATTATGTTGTAACTTGTGAAAAAAACAAAACATATGCGCAAAAACATTGTGCATTAAAAACCCATTTAAATAAAATAAATCATTAAAATGTATTTATTTATTTAAAAATGGACGTATTATTTTTTTTTTTTAAGTTAAGCTTGAATTTCTCAGATGGATATATGTGTGGGCCTGGCCATGATTAATTGCGTTCAATAATTTTTTTTATATCAATTTTTTTATATAAACAATTAATGCACTAAATTACCAGTTTAAGTTGATTATGGATTATGGAGGCCACTGTGCTCTTATGAACCTTAAGTGCAGCAGAAATTTTTTTTTTGTAACCTTGGCAGGATCTGTGCCTTACCACAATTCTGTCTCTGAGCTCTTCAGGCAGTTCCTTTGACCTCATGATTCTCATTTGCTCTGACATGCACTGTGAGCTGTAAGGTCTTATATAGACAGGTGTGTGGCTTTCCTAATCAAGTCCAATCAGTATAATCAAACACAGCTGGACTCAAATGAAGGTGTAGAACCATCTCAAGGATGATCAGAAGAAATGGACAGCACCTGAGTTAAATATATCACGTCACAGCAAAGGGTCTGAATACTTAGGACCATGTGATATTTCAGTTTTTCTTTTTTAATAAATCTGCAAAAATGTCAACAATTCTGTGTTTTTCTGTCAATATGGGGTGCTGTGTGTACATTAATGAGGAAAAAAAATTAACTTAAATGATTTTAGCAAATGGCTGCAATATAACAAAGAGTGAAAAATTTAAGGGGGTCTGAATACTTTCCGTACCCACTGTATGTGTGGGCCTGGCCATGATTAATTGCGTTCAATTATTTTTTTTATATAAATTTTTTTATATAAACAATTAATGCACTAAATTACCAGTTTAAGTTGACAGCTCATAACTCATAAAAATGAAAATCTTTTTGTCTGTCTTTCAGTATAAGAGTGCAGGAGTGATTGAGCTGGAGGCCTGTATTAAGGCTGTCAGAGTGTTGGCCATTCAGAAACGAGCCAGGGAGGCTTCTGAATGCCTGCAGAATGTCGTTTACATCAATCTAGGCCAGGTGAGGGCTTGCAACAAGTCAGTTTTCAAAGTTGCTCAATTAGGAATGGTCTTTGAACGTTTGTCTATGTGTTCAGCTGTCAGAAGAGGAGAAGATCCAGCGATACAGTGTGCTATCAGAGCTCTACGAGCTCATCGGCTTCCACCGGAAATCAGCGTTCTTCAAACGCGTCGCAGCCATGCAGTGTGTGGCGCCCACTATCCCTGAACCGGGCTGGAAGGCCTGTTACAAACTCCTGCTGGAGACCCTGCCGGGATACAGCCTCTCTCTAGACCCCAAAGACTTCAGCAAAGGTAACACGAGATGTTTCTTCTAGGGCTGGTTAAGTTGTACTATTATAATGATTGTTTTTAAAGCTGTTAAGCCTAAATCTAGATGGGACTTTAACAGAAATGGTCATTCACAGTCACTGTTTGGTCGATTTTAATGATCATTTGAAAGGACAGCCTGTTTGAAGTACCACCAGTTTTTTTTTACAGAACGATGTTATAAAGTGAAATAAAAGTGTTTTATTAAACATTTATTTTTATAACTGAATGCACCACATTGTGAAAGCGTATAGTTTTCTTCTTGGCCTTATTGTAATTGATCTGATTGTATGTCTGGATAGACTCAAGTATGTGTGCATGTCCAACAACCTAAGTACTGAAGCAGTGTTATTTTAGTATTCTTTATGTACTATTTTATATACAGTATCTATTCATATTTTGAATTGGCTATTTTCAGTTTTCATTTTCATTTTAGGTTAAGTTTTAGAAATGTTATGTGCTTTTGTCGTTTGTCATTTTTTAAATATATATTTATCTATAGCTTTAATTTATTTTTATTTCAGTTTTAGTTTTGTAATTTTAGTACAGCAACTACATTTTTATTTTATTTCGATTAAGTGCCAATGCAACAAATTGTATTTTTTTTTTTTTGTATTATTGGCATGACTTGCACAGTATTGCCAAAGCATTGTCCATTACATGAATAAGCAATTATATAATACATTAACAAAACAACAATAAGATCTGTAAAATAATTAAGTAAATTAATTATAATCGCTCTCTCTCGCGCACGCTCTCTCTCTCTCTCTCGCTCGCGCACACACACACACACAATGCGCAGAACTCCGCATTTGCACAGTCAATAGCAAATACTTAAACTAATAACAAAACAGTAGCTGATTCAGAAGCGCCAGATTGTCATAGCAAAGTCAGAATGACCTCCTCTCCTAGGTTCACGAAACGGTCGTCCATAAAATGCATTGCTGTTCTGTTGTAAGTAATCTTAAAGATTCCTAAAGGCATCTACTTCCGGAAGGCCAAATAAAGTGCTTTTGCTTTCGCCTAGAAACACACAGCGTCTCCCTGACATGCTGCTTCAACACTAACTGCGGTTACTGAAACCACGCCTTCTTTCTTTGCGTG